GGTAGACATTGATTTTTCATCTACAAAACGTTGAGCCGTTACCGGGATTCTCTATAATGTATATAATACAAGATTGTTCGAACATTATTCTCAAATTCTAACATCTATATGTATATAGACGTCGGTAGGTAGGCAGTTACAATAACAATTAAGCTTCAAACTTTCCAGCAGAAAACCTGAAATTGAATTAAGGTTTTATGATTGTCTGGGTACTGGCGATTGCACTTTAAATATTCAGTGCAATGCCTACGGTTATCAATGCCTACAACACCAAACTGGAACAATGTTTAGATCAAACAAGGTAGTTGTAAGGTGCTAAAAACCATTGTAAATACTTGTGGAAAATAAAAGAGAAAATACAATAAGTATTCTAATTACCTACTTATTAAAAAGACCAGAAAATACGCTCATATCTCAATTATTATAAGTGTAGTAACTATACATTTTCTATATATGATACACGCTGTATAATCAGAAGTGAGAATAAAATGCAGAGCCGTTGCCAGACCTTCCGGTTATATCAGAACCAACTCATACCAATGTGAACTTTCATTGGGTCATTGCACTACACGAAAAAGGTGCCCCTGTAAGCCTGTACTATTCTTATTGCCTTTGCTTCATATCTGGCCCATATACCAGATAACAGCTTCATTATAATTTAATTAAAAGTATCTTCATATTAAATGAACACCGTCTCAGTACCGTAGTACCGTGACCACTTGATGATCTTGAAACATGATCAGCGAGGCTCACGTGTGTATCGTGTAATCCCTAACTTTGACATAGCTCCAAGCCTAGTTTTTTAATTTAATTACATGAAGTTGTAGAAGTACGAAGGTGTCGAAACAAACTTGTTGGGTTTGATTAAAATTGTCGGATTAATATTTATTTAGTTTTTACTAAAAGTAGGTACATGTAGGTATGATTTTTATTAACATTCAGCCTATTAATTACTTTGTGAAGACAGTTCCTAGACATGCATCATAAATTTGGTGGAATATATAAATAATTTAAACGAGAGTTAGAAGTCATAAAACAGCTAACTGTAAGGTTAAGAATTAGGTCGGGCGACGGGTTAATTTGCAGACACTGGCTATTGACTATTGATACGCATAGTAACACTTTTCAGAGAGACCGCCACACTCTCTCTAATTAATTGTATGTATTGTAACACACCTCTGTATGTGCTTCAATTACACAAAACAATTATGTAGTTACTTAATTGTAAAAACGTTGGATAACGGAAAATTGAATACGTCAATGTCGTGACAACATAAAATTCAGTTATATGTGTGTTGTAGGTGCAAATTAGTTAGTGACCATTTGTACAATGTTTATAGATCTTCTCTTGATCATCTTAATATTATTATTGTCTTTAAGAATACTGGGATTTGCATAACATTAGCAAGAATCGCAACACGTATACGTATTTCTTTTATATCAGCCTCATCTAACCAATTGTGTTAAATTGCTCCAATCAAGATTTATAAAATTGCGCTTCCTAGTCGTCAACTCAGATCGTCTAATGGATCTGTCTCCAACGCTGACAAGTCAATCGACACCAGGGCTTGACTATGATAATCATGATACTGTTATCACGTCATGTTGTTATCAGCGTCTACCGATCGATATGAATATTTTCGCTGAGATTGGGCCATGAGGCACTTTCACCGCCGTTACACGCGTTTTCTAGCGAAACACCGAACTCAATTATTAATAGCAGCCTATTTTTGGAGCGGCTTCGGACGCGGATTTGCGCTCGGGCGTGTGCGAGGCCCGGGCGAAGTCACTATCTCACCTGGGCCAGGTGTAGACACCGGAAACTTCAAAGCCGAAATGCCAGGAGCCGGCATAAGCTCCTTGCGCCTTGGGTCCTGTACACACTCCGTGGCCGTGGGCCTTGCCGTCTTCCCATCCACCACAATAAGTACCACCATCGTCAAAGTCGAAACGGCCACCGTTGAGGCCACGCTGCGGGGGGTTTCCGCTAGCGGCGTGCGCGGCGTCGGCTAGCTCGCTCGGCTGCATCACGCGAAACCGTGGTGCCGCGGAGGGGAGGGCCTCCCGCGCGCACCCTCCACCGAGCTCGCGGTATAAATAAACATCAGCTGGGCATGTCGCGCCGTGGCGCGCCGCCGAGTGAACACCACTCCGGTCCTGCGCGAGGAGCACTGCGCGCCCACGGCACGGCGTGCCGCCCGCCCGCCGCGCCCCGCCCGCCCTGCGCACTGCGTACTCTACGCAGCTGAGCTCACCGTCGCCACTACCGCTGCTACCGCCACATTGTCGCCACAACAACTTATATACAGTACTGCTTTTTACATTACTTGTCCCAAATAAAATGATTTAGGAGAAATTGCCACATTACGTTACAATGCAATACTGTATAATGTCACTAACTAGCGCCCAGTCTGAAGTCTCGATTCTTAGTACACACAAACCTAAAACAGCTACAGAGGTAATTTTGTTAATTTTTGATTTCAGATATTGCACGTCAGAAGAGCTGAATTCGTTCCATTGTTAGTAGGTCAGTTGGTGATCTGTTACCATTCTGTGCCAAGAGAGCTTTCTGTAGGTACATACTTTAAAAGCTAAAGTAAAAAAAAAATGATTTCACATACATACATATATTATTTATATATTATTTTTCGTACGAACATATCTTACCTACATAGTTATGACATAATTCACGAATTTAAATGAAATGTCCTCTTTATCAAATTTTTAATGAAATGTGTTCTTGCGCCAGTACCACAGGTATCAGTAGAAGTAGGCAAGTATGGGCACATTGTAGCATTAGCTAGTAAGCCTAATATGATGGTAAATGTTAGATAAATTACTTTGTACAAACTTCGGATAGATTCCCTATTACCACCATGCAATTGTGAAGCACCATGCAATTGTAAGTGCGTGAAGTATTAGTCACACACAAAAAAATATGTAAGTAGGTACGAGTATGATGCACAGACGTCGTTTTTTTACAATTGGAAAATCATTAGTGTCATGGCTTTCTACGCCCTGGGTAGTGTAAGAGGATGTTAGGTTCTTACTGACTCCTGCTCCAAGCCGGAACGCGATATCATTGTTCTTGCTACCGCACCTCGGCTGGACATCGGCACAGGTGTAGTCAAATTTGTCGCCCTCTTTTTCTAGACGAGGTTGTATTCTTTTCGGTAATCGTGCGATGGCCTCTTTGGGTGTCAGAGGTTGCAGACAGGACGTGCGCTGCGTTCTTAAGGGTCATGGCCTAAGACTGTTGCGTGGGTATCACGACCGGAGAGGGGATGGACCTCTTCGTCGGACTGCCATGGGATCTGGAGGCGATAACGCTTGTAACGCGTTTTCGGTTTGAGCGTTAAAACGAGTGGTTGGGGCGAAATTCCGCTGCTGCAACAGCTTGATGAGCTCCGGCCCGATCTCATTGCTAATGGAAGCAACGACTACGTTAAGACTGCGTGAAAGTGACTAGAGAGCCATCACGGTATCCTCACCTTCCGCCTAAAAATTTCAAAGTCATAGAGAGAAAATCATCGTCATCGTTCATCTGGGGTAAACTGTGGTGCATATGGTTTGCCCTGCTTGATTTGAGCATCACCGTGTCATAGGGACAGCTATCGGCGCAGCGACTTCTCACACCCGGTCTTGGTCTAGGCCGTACATCTGAATCTTTTACTACTGTGATATATTAGCTGCCAAATGTGGAGATTAAGCAAATCCTTATACGTGTATGAGACGAGGACCCCCTATTTAGCTCTGGGTTGTGGAGGGCTGTAAATAACGATGATTGATTCTGATAGGTTGAAAGTCATTGCCACAACCACATGAAAAAACTTGATGAAAATTTTAAACACAATACAACTTTTTGTTTTGTAAAATGATGATGTAGGTATCAGAATATTTCAAGTAAGTATTTGTTTTTTGTGTATCAAATTATAAATCTTTTGTTTTACCCTTCACCTTTTGTTAAACCAACACCCTCCAATTGCTGCATGGTGGTATTGGTTTAAGCGTATTTAGACTCCAATCAATATTCATAATAGTAAATGTTGGTCTGAGGTATTATGGTTTTGAGTTCATTAGCAGAAGAAGGGTTTCTTTTGAACCTTCTTGATTTTTCGCAGACTTGATATAGCAGTGCGAAACTTCTTAAATTGCTCTAGTTCTGTTGTAACATTGACATTGCAATGGAAACAACAAAAATAAAATAAAAATGTTTTGTTTTACTGGTTATTATTGACTGGCTACTCTCGCGCGGTTTCACCGGTTGCTCGGCTCCATTTAATTGTAGCGTGATGTTTTATAGCCTATAGCACTCAGTAATATTGTAGCTCAGTCAGTGAAAGAATTTTGGCAATCCGATCAGCGGTTCCAAAGATTACCCCCTACATACAAAACTTAAAATTTTACCTCTTTATAATATTTGTTATTGATAAGTAAGTATATTTCAGCTGGTTTTCATATTTGCTAAATTTCGGGTACATGTATGATTCAACCATAAACAATTGACAAACTTTGAGTGCGTCCATCATCCAAACTAGTCCAAATTAATATTATTAATGCGAAAGTAACTCTGTCTGTCTATCTTTCTGTCTGTCTGTTTGTCTGTCTTTTCTTCACGCCTAAACTCCTGAACCTATTCATGTGAAATTTGGTACAGACATCATATGCTGAGATAGTGGCCTTTTTGACCTCACACAGGTCTTTTATTTTATTTTTTTTAAATTTTTTGTTGTTGTTTTGTTTATTTTTTCTTTTTTTATATATAAAATGTAATTGTATTTATTTTCTGTGCGAATCTCAAATAAATGTTTTTTCTTACTTTCTTTATATGTATATTCCAATAAAATATCAAGGTCTACTTATAAACTAGAGCAAAAGTACCTTGCTCTAGGACTTGAGAATAAAAAAGAATGACATTTCATTTAATGTGACAGCACTGACACCTGACATTGACAGCTTGTTGAATGCTGAATTGTTGACGTGATTTTATATTATTATCTATTATTATTTCTCATTCAACAAAACACCATTGCATTATCGCAATCAGACGTCGATTTGTTTTAATTTCGGCAATTGCTTGTAATAGTTAATTAACACTCGACCTGATACGATATCAAAATAATGTGACTTTTTGTAAAAAGTGCTGCGCAATCAGAAAAAAATTTTGGACTGTGAAATGGTGCATTGTTTCCTATATATTTTTTTTATTAACTAGCATTTAATTGTAGGCACTACACCAGTAAATGCCAGTGTTATAAAAGTAAAATAAACCTATCCCAGCAAATTGAATGGATATACAGCAAAGATATCAAAGTATTGTTTTCAAAACAAAAGTACATGAATAAAGCGTTTTAATTTTGATAAGAAAAGCGAAGTGATAAGAATGGAGGCTCCAGAATCCAGTGGGAGTAGCCGGTCCACTATGTTGCAGCCCACATCATGGTGTCACCCAGCCAATAGAGTGCATCGATTTTTTGCACTATTGCTCATGTGCTTCCTTTGTTTTGGTAAGCTAACAATAAATGTATGTCTAAACTGTAATAAAGTTGTCGGACGGAATAGGGGTCTATTGTTGTAGATACAATGGGTCCTAAGTGAATCTATTCATAAGATAAATTAACTTGAAAATACACATACTGAATGTTGAGTTTTAGGGTCAATTGAAATAAAGCATTGTTTAATGTATGACCTTCCTAGGATAACTGATGATAAGAAAAATTTTCCTGTTCCAGGTTCATACTTTTGTTATGATACTCCCGGGGCATTGGCTGACAACTTCAAAGATGACTCACACTTGAACACATCCCAGTTTGCATTGCTTTACTCAATATACTCATGGCCAAATGTGGTATTGTGTTTCATCGGCGGTTATCTTGTTGATAGGTATGTTTTATAATAATTGTTATTTTGCTTATCAAGTAATTATGACTGCTAACATAACTTTGCTGGCTTAGTTTAGATGGTTGTTTGTGTTACTGATTGAAAATTAAATAATCTAATATGGTTTTGTATAAATATTTTTGTAAAGTTTTTTTTTGTGTCAGCACTATGCAATGATTCAGCTTTGGTTGAGACTAATAGAAATAACACTTTTTTTTTGCTTAGGGGAAATCAAATATAGAAATCAATTACTTGTGTCTGACTTAAAATTAGTTTGTTGTATGTTATGTTAAAACACCAAGTTTAATTTATAATCAAATGTGTGTTTTGCAGGCAATAACTGTCTAAATATGTACAGCGGACTTAAAAAGAGGGTGTATTCTCTGTTACATCCACTTTTTACTTATTTTGTTCTTCACTCCAATGTTTATAAGGGTGTATTTAAAAGCAAGCCAAGTCAAGTTTGCTTGTTTTTAATAATGAGCACACATTCTACTTAAGTATACTTAGATAGCATCATTATGAGGAATACTTATGACTGCAATAAACAATGTTATCCTATCCTGTTTCAACATTGACAAAACTAATTACATTTTATGTTTAGGTATTTAGAACAGTATGCAGATTGCACTGCATATTATAATATGTATAGGTATATAATCAAGAGCAAATGATATGATGTTTACAATATCTGTGACCCTATTGAGTCCAATAATATTATTATTAAAATATTGAGAATGTTATGAACATGTGTGGCCTCAATACAATTGACACTGTTGCAAAATGAATTAGAAACAAAAAAAGTGAGGTATAACTGCTATGAACAATTTGCCAATGTTCTTTCCATTTCATTTCAGGTACTTTGGTGTTAGATTGGGCACTGTGATTTATATGACAATTGTGTTTATTGGAGCCGTGATATTTGCTTTTGGAGTGTATATTAATGCATTCTGGTTGATGATACTTGGGCGATTTGTGTTTGGGTAAGAATGACATAGAAATTAGAAAATTCATTATCAAGCATTAAATTTAATTTTATCATACAAACAAATATTTAAATCAATAATTTATATTTTTTGACAAATAAATAATAGGATTTTATATATACATAATTATGGGCAAAAAACCAAGGACCCTTCTGATATCATGTTTCAAGTTGCCCACTTCAACAGATTGTTTTTTAAAGATTTTATTTAAAATGCTGATGAATATATATTTTACTCTATTTTTCAGAATTGGAGGAGAGTCCCTGCAAGTAGTAGTAAACAATTATGTTGTCCTTTGGTTTAAAGGGAAGGAACTTAACATGGTATTTGGACTGCAGTTATCATTCTCTCGTTTTGGAAGTACTGTTAATTTCTGGGTAATGGAACCTGTTTATAGATGGGTTTCCACATATTATGGAGGATATGAAAGATTGGGAGTTACATTGTTCCTAGGTTTGTATTGCTATAATTTTTTAAATATACCAGTATGTTTTATATAAACCCTTTATCATGTCCATATTAATATAATCTATATTTTCAGCCTCACTAACTTGCTTTGTGTCCCTTGTTTGTGGCGTGATTCTTGGCTGGATGGATTACAGAGCTGAAAAAATTCTAGGAAGACAAGATGAGCAAAGCAACAGTGAACCCTTCCACCTAACAGACATTAGACATTTTAAATCAGTGTTTTGGCTGTTATCTGTAATTTGTGTGGCTTATTATCTAGCCATCTTTCCATTTATTGCCTTGGGAAAGTGAGTAACTGTCTGGATTTTTCCATTTATCATAATTACCCTTTTTGTTTTGTATACTAACAAATTTGTTGTAAATTAAAAATAATCTTTGTCAAAAATATTAACTTATGATTTCAGATTATTCTATGAGCGAAAATTCGATTTCTTGCCACAAGAAGCAAACAACGTTAATTCCATGGTTTATTTGCTATCAGCAGCTCTAAGTCCATTCTTTGGCATTCTCATTGACAAGACAGGAAGAAATATGACTTGGGTTATAATAAGCATTGTGACGACAATTGGTGCACATTTTATGTTGGCTTTTACATTCTTCAACCCATATATTGGTGTGGTAAGGAGCAGATTAATTGAATAACTGTAATTTTTATTTTTTCGGGTTCTTTTTTTACTATAAAATTGTTTTTAATTTTCAGATATCATTGGGCATTTCTTATTCCCTATTGGCTAGTGGTTTATGGCCACTGGTAGCACTAATTGTTCCAGAAAATCAGTTAGGAACTGCATATGGAATGTAAGTAGTGTTTATTATAGTTTGGCTCGAATACCTTTGTAGTCACGCTCAAATACTATAAGATGCCAGTGTTCTCGCGTTGTTCCGAGTCACGAGTATTCTCGAGGCGCATTGCATGAAATCTGAATCCTTAGGTATATTTTGCCACCGCTCTTTTTTTGGTGTACGCGCAGCTTCGCTTCTCCTCTAGAGTCTGTAGTCTTATCATATTGCTTTAATTGCATACATATACTCAATGTCACAGTAGTTGTGCTATAGAACTAAAATTAAAATTCAAGGCTTTAAAGTTAACGATAAATGTTAATTAGGTATTACCATAAAACTATTTACTACTAATTGTAGGAACTATAATAATGATTTTTATTTACTTTCAGTTGTCAAGCAGTACAGAACATGGGGCTAGCTACAGTCATAATATTTGCAGGAATGATTGTTGACAAATATGGATACCTAATGCTAGAAATGTTCTTCTTGGGATGTCTCTTTGGTATGAAAATTAACACAAACATTGAGAATTTCATAAAATGTTTCTATAGTTACAGTGTTTTATTTATTATGAACTTTTTTCCAGTATCACTTATTGCGGCAGTACTTATATATATAATTGACTCGGCGAACAATGGGGTCCTAAACATGTCACCAAGCATGAGGGAGTCTACAAAGTCTACGTAAGCTTAAATCATTTTAAACCATAACTTATAAAAATTTTTATTAATTATTTTTTTTTATTTAAATATTGCGTTTGTTTTAGGGTTACACATACTGACGAAACTGCACATCTATTAGATAATGAAGACTATACGGATCAAGAAGAAACTGATTCACGAAGACCGTCAGATGCGACGCAAGATCAGTCGACTATTAATCCACGAGACGTCGCTCAGGCCCAGTCTGATAGAATACGCAGTCGATACTTAGCACAAATACTACCAAATAATGTTTCAGAAAGAGAATAGTGATCTCGGTATAACTTTCCTATGATACATGTAAATAATTATTAGTATGTACTTTTATAGATTTAGAGAATTATTTTAACTACTTTTTTAAAATTAAATAATAACAAACTATCAATGTGTAAAATCTTTATTGCCACACTTTACACTGGTGAATTAAATATACTATATAAAACAATGAACAAGTCTCATTTATTATTAATCTAAAATGTTATAAATGCTGTTATACATTTGATATAAGTATATTAATTTTAAGTAGAATTTAATAAGTACAAAAATATAACATATATAGTTGGTAAAGTAACCCATTTGTGCTTTTGTAAAATATTTTACTTGTGTATAATAATACCATTTTATTCCTATCTTAATAAGACATTGCATATCACTTTGTAAGGCAATTATCAATGTTAATAAAATACATGAGTATAAACTCATTAGCTATTTTTTAATGGCACCATTATAATCACTTAGTATATCACATATACTGTTCATGAATCATAATATTAAGTACCTTTCAGTTTGTAACTCTTTATATTGAGAAGTATATTATGGTTGCTTTATCTGATGATGAATACAACAATAATTTGGAAACCAAAGTCATCTGCTAATTGTTTTCCAAACTTTTCAGTTCAAATCTTATACTGAATGCTGATGTGTTCCAAGTATTCATAACATAGTGGGTAATAGTAAGTGTATTTCAGTGTTATTAGTTGCTCCCTAATAAGGACATTAATACAATTTGCACTTATCTTCTACATTCCATTCAATACCATTACCTGGTAATTTACTATAGATGAAAGGAGAAATCCAAGTTAGATACCATCTCTCCCCAAAAACTTCTGTCAAATTAAGCTTCCATCCCCTGTTATGGATAAAATCTTTGGTATAAGTTTTACTTTCATGAACTGATCTTCCTTTAATTAAGTTATTGAAATGGTATATGAATAAAAATCCAGTAAAAAGTCCAACTAACACATTAATGACTACCAAGAAAACATAAAGGCTTTCATCTCCAAAGTCAATAACAATACTTGCAAGTGGACAAATAAATTTAACCAATATCAATCCATGGTTCCATGTTATGAATTGAGATACAAATTGTATATTATAAAATAAAGAGTATAACATTGCTACAAATATGTAAAAAGTGAATAGCATAAAATACCTATGATTAAAGTACCCTACACAACATGCAAAAAATGTGCAATGGTGGTCCCTCTTTAAAGTACAGATATCACATGTATCACAGTGCCAAGCTCGAGGTGGTCTCAAACATTCACAAACACTACAAAAAGTCCAGTCTTCCTTATTGAATCCTTCAAGGTTTCTACCTTTTATTGTAGAATTTGTAAACATGCCATAAATCATATTACCTATAATATTTAGTAACAAAAATGTTGCACAGGCCATATGACAATAAAATGCAAAGCTCCACTGCTCTACAATTGCTGGTAATACTATGCATAATTCGAAGTAAAGAAATGCTGGTATAAGTATAAATGTAATGGCAATGTAAAAGCTATGTTCTGTCAGCCTTCTTAACTGCTTATTTTTAATGAATTCCAATTTCATAAGCATTTTAGTATAGGATCTTTATTTCCTATTTGTGTTTAAAAATTCATTACTTTATTGTATGGGGTATCTGAAATGAAAAACACGGAAATATAGTTTTTGTTATAAATTGTGAATTAAGCGACATTTAGGTGATATCCAGGATTATTACCTGACTCAGCTATTTTTATATTAATGCATGAAAACAACACGATATAAATTTACTTTCTACTTCTTTTTAAATGTATAAAAAACTAATAATTTGCTTCATTCATTGTAATCATTGTTGATAATATAAACATTATGACATTGACATTGACACTGTCATATTTTTGACAACTTCCTATCATTTCCGAGCTTGGTTATAATTATATAGTTATATCATCTTAGGTTTCATTGGTCTGAGTTTCCGAGCGTAGCGTAGAGAGAGTGTCTACGTTTCCGAGCATTGCCAGGTGGCGAATGTCACTCACTTCTTATCGTAATAAAATCGAGATACTCCGATATTTATAAAAACTAATATCTATAAATTAGGTTTTGATTTGATAAACATAACGGTGAAATTAATTTTCATTAATTTAAAAAAGTATTGTACCATTTTTCATCCTTGAACTCAGGTTAAAAGACTACTATTCAAAGTCACATTAAAAAAAGTGGTGGCTCTTCTATTTGACGTCTTCACCGCGCCCTCTCCCTTCCTTCACCCCCTCTAACTTCCAACATCACGACGAAAGTTTAGGTTCAAAGTCTGGGTCCAAAATTATTTAATTAGTAGTTTTATTTCATCGTTAATTTAGTTTTTAATAGTATATACAACTTTAAAACATGTCGAACAGTAAAATATTTAATGCCCTTAAGATATTAAGGACTCGCAAGGATCTGAAATATTTAACTGGTAAGAACTACTTGTGTGACTTTCTTAAAAATTTCAATCGTATGCAAACTATCAATTCATTTATTATTGTTAGAAAATAAGAAAATATTTAGTGCCGGTTCCGGTTTGATAATCTGAATAATGCCATTTTTATAATTATTACAGGCCTACACAGCAGAAACTATGCTGCTGCAGCAGGTAGTCTGGTGCATACCAAGTGTAAAATCGTCAATGGCGTTTATGTGGTTACACTTGATTCACCTAATACCAAGGTAAACTCATCAATTAACAATATTTCAATCAAACACTCTTGTTTGCAATATATTATCATAAAACTGAAAATTGTTGTTTCGGTTTCTTTTCCTCATTTAATTCTACTGCACTTTTTGTAGTTCCGTTCCTTGATCACACAAGTTTATTTTATGCAGTTATGTTACTAAGTCAATAAATGATATTGGTTTTTAGTTCTGGAATTCTATTTGGAATCCAATAAGAAAAGGTTGATGACACCTCATTGTTAAATAACTGTTAATTTCAGGTGAATTCCTTAAATACAGCTGTTATGGATGAGGTGACTACTGTACTTAATGAGATTGAATCAAACCCCTCCATTCAAGCTGCAGTCCTAATATCTGGCAAGCCGGGATGTTTTATTGCTGGAGCTGACATCACCATGCTGGAAGCATGCAACACCAAAGATGAATTTGTAACACTCTCTAAAAGAGGTTTGTTATTTCAATTAGTAGTTTTTGTTAAAAAAAACTAAATATTTTTCATATGTATGCATTATATTAAATGTGTAAATGCCTTATGCCAATATATAATATAAATGGTAATTCATAACAGTAAGTTATAGCTTATTTCTAATTTACATGAGTTGGTATTGTACACCTCATTATAATGAAAATTTCATTAATAGTGAGATGATGACAGTTATTTCTTAAGCCTAAACCTAGCAATGTTTTGTGACTTGAAAATAAATGATTAAATAGTAAGCAAGCAACTGACATTTTTTAAGAAATTTAAATGTAAGGTACCTTCTTGTTATCAATCAGTTTGATCTTTATTGTGATGGAGAAGATACAATTCCTTATTTTTATCACTGGAATAATGTTATACAATAGTAAAATAGAAAAATCATTTATTACAGTTGCAGTTAATTAATGATTTTGTAAATCACAAATTAAAATGGTCAATTTTTATTTTACAGGTCATGTAATTTTCCATAGAATTGAGAAGTCCCGTAAGCCCATCATTGCTGCTATCCAGGGTAGCTGCCTTGGTGGTGGATTAGAGACAGCTCTGGCTTGCCACTATCGTATTGCTGTAAAGGATCCCAAAACTGGATTTGGTCTTCCCGAAGTTATGTTAGGACTGCTGCCTGGAGGTGGTGGAACTCAGAGGTAATTGATATAAATTTTACATGTGTAACTTAAAATAAATAATATTATTATACACAACAAACTTGTAAATCAATGTATTGTTGTATCATAAATAATAGAGCATTTTGTTTATGGTTTAACTTTATGTCTAATGAGATATAGTAGTAGTAATAGAAAATACAATGTCTCGCTTATTTATATACTATATGATCTCACATACCCCAGGTAAAGGGTATTATAATTTGGCATCCGATTTATCTACAGAAAAAAGTTGTTAGTACACTTTTTAACTGGAATAGCCATTCACAAGTCATAGTAACAAAAGTTATAATAAGGAAATAACCATGACCTGGACAAAGATCATGTTATATAAGATCACATACTTGGCAATGAAATAATATTCAGAGCAAGGTTGCCAAATATTGTGCACAATCATATTATAAATAAATATATGTAACTAGGTGATACAGATAAGTGTACTTGCAAATACACATTTTCCATGTTGCATGTCCTTGGCAATGAAATTATACAGAGCTATTTTTATTCAGATTAGATTGCATCAATGAACTTAGTTTAAGGCCATTTGATGTTGCATAGAATCTTAACTTTATTTGTACTGATTTTTTTTACACTGTATTTTTTGAGTAGGTAAATGATTATTTTTTCTGCATCTAATTGATGTATGTGTAGGAAAATAAAAGTTTAAATGATATTAAACTGTGTTTTGCAATTAAGTCACATTGTGATACTAATACAATTTATTGTTTTTAAATTAAGCTACATTATTAGCAACAGTAGTGTTAGCTATGACATACTCTTTGCTAAGTAAAATGGAAAGTTTTCATTTATTAATAATAGGTAAAAAAATAAAACCTATAAAATTGCTGTTTTGCATAAAAAAAATTGAACAATTTTTTTTAATTTGAAATGCTATGAAAATGTAACACTAATCAATAAACAAATATGTAATTACTTTTGGAAAAAGAATCCCATGTATTTAAAACAAAATTAATTAGCCTTAGCCTAACAAAAACTATTTTGATTTGAAATGGCCAGTACTAAAGAACGGCAATTTCATAGGTAAAGACCTATTGTTTTAAAGTAACTTCAGAAATTATGCAATTGTATATATTGTGTGGATATTAAAAGGTTTCCCTGCATAATTGGAGTTCAATCTTACACTACATGTATAATTTTGTTTTCAGAATGCCAGTTCTTACTTCAGTTCCCACAACTTTGGACCTAGCTCTCACTGGAAAGACTGTAAAAGCTGATAAGGCAAAAAAGTTGGGTATAGTTGATCTGTTAGTTGCTCCACTTGGTCCAGGTAATTAAATATATTTATTATAGTTTATTGCCAACATTTTCAAATGTTGCAAGATATGAAATATAATTTTGTTCTTAGGTCTAGGCAAACCTGAAGACAACACAATGAGATACTTAGAGACTGTAGCCATTCAAGTTGCAAGTGATATTGCAAATGGCAAAATGAAAGTAGATAGATCTAAAAAGGGATTAGTTCAGAAAATCACTGCCAGTGTGATGCAATGGGATATGGTGAAGAACATGATCTTCAACAAAGCCAAGGAGCAGGTTATGAAAGCTTCTCGTGGTCTCTACCCAGCACCACTGAAAGTAAGTTTTTTATTCATCCTATTCTAGTAAGGCATTTTTTGTTTATTGAGCGACTAATCTCTTTAGTTAAGCAGAATAGTTTCGGATATTTCAATATTATCTGACAAATCTGTATTGAGCACTATATAGATTTACTGAAGATTTTTAAGTTGATGATATTTAATGTTTGCCAATATGGTAATCCATTTTGGCGATAAAAAACAAAATAAAATATTTTTGCTATTTGATGAATAAAAAAACCTTATTTAGATTCTTGATGTGGTGAGGACTGGTGTTGACAAAGGCCCCACAGCTGGTTATGAAGCTGAAGCACAAGGATTTGGTGAGCTCGCCGTCACCCCACAGAGCAAGGGTCTCATTGGACTGTTTAGAGGACAAACTGAATGTAAAAAGAACAGGTTTGGAAAGTCCCAAGTAGATATTAAATCGGTGAGTTCAAAATTACCTATCATATTTACCATAATTACATTGATTGTATATAAATAGCTTCATTTTATCATTTTGCCTTTCTTTTTCCACAACTTCATCAAGGATTCTATAGGTACGAAATGTTTGTACTTATCTTTTTAGATAAAAGTAGTATTCACAAAGATATTACTTACTTATATATTTTAGTAATATCACTATAAATAGATTTCTTCCCTAGATTGGAGTGCTTGGCGCTGGTCTGATGGGTGCCGGTATAGTACAAGTGTCCATCAACAAAGGTTACCATGTAGTCATGAAGGATGCTACCAATGCTGGTCTCTTCAGGGGTGTCGGTCAGATCCAAACTGGATTGGCTAATTCAGTTAAACGGAAGAGGATTACTGGGTAAATATATTTAGCACTTAGATCTTTATAACAAAACATCTGTAAAAAAGAATGTGGTCTCATATTTATTTCCTTTATTTTTAGCCTACAGAGGGACAAATACTTGGCTAACCTCTTACCAACTCTTGAGTATGAGAAAATGAGCAAATGTGATTGTGTAATTGAGGCTGTGTTTGAGGACATCAACATCAAGCACAAGGTCATCAAGGAATTAGAAGCAGTGATCCCCAAACACGCTATCCTCGCTACCAACACTAGCGCTATCCCCATAACCAAGATCGCCGCCGGCAGTAGCCGTCCCGACAAGGTTATTGGTAAGTAACTTTTCAACTTTAAAATTTAAAGTTTGAAGAATTTCTACTTTTTAGTATTGAACTTTGTATG